TTATTATTAATAATAAACAGAGTTGAAAATCACATTTCAGACTTGTGTTTTCCCTTTGCAAACTGCATTTATAGTCAGTTGAGGTGTAAACACCATCCTGTACGTCTGACATCCAAAGATCAGACAAAAAAGGAAACAGCCTGGTCTTCCAATACTTTAATATGGGAGTGAAGGTACAACAGTGATGATTGCCAAATGTTTCCTCTGACTAAATGAAATCCAGCACAAACAATAAACCAGTTTGGAACAACTCTTACCGTCCCAAAATGTCATTGAAGCGAGGTTCCAGCTCAATGCTGTATTTATCAATGTAGTCATAGAGGTCTTCTGTCCCCAGAACCTTGGCTATTCTCACCAACTAAAAGACAAAAAACAACAACAACATTCGAAACTTACAATTAATACTGCCGTTTCACTAGACAAGACAAAAATAATTACAGTAATCAGTATTTATTTTATGTAACACCCATCAGAAGCTCATGATAACATTTCTCAGTTGACAACAAAAAAATAAACAAAAACAAACAGCAGAACTCTGTCTGTGTGTGTGTGTGTGTGTGTGTGTGTGTGTGTGTGTGTGTGTACCTGATCATAGTTGTCATGTCCATGAAAAAACGGCTCTTTTCTGAAGATCATGCTTGCCAACATGCAGCCTAAACTCCACATATCAAGGCTGTAGTCATACATCTGAAAAACACAAACAGAGAAGTGAAAAGGCCTGAAGTCTTCTGAGACACTTTAAAGGAGACTTCAGGCTGCTTTATACTTCCAGTCGCACAACTCGGTGCCCCTGCTGAGTGACAAGAAAAAACTGTAACTTCGGTGTGTCCTCCTCCGCAGGGCTGTATGTTAATTTTTTCAACCCACAGCACTTGTGCCACAGAGGTTGTTGGTTCTGTAGCACCAGCATGAAATGTCTGTTACCATCTCTAAAACCAAAAGCATGAACACCCATTTAAGAAGGCACACATGACAAAAACAGAGGGGAACAGGTGATCAGGTCATGCAGCAACCGGCAGGGGCCACGCTACCTTTAAAAAAAACACAGAAGGTTAGATGAGAAGAAAAAAAACTAAACTAAACATATTATATCAATGAAACATGATGATGCTTATAAAATTTCCGGTTAGCTTCTTAGCTTAGCCTCCTTCACAGTGGAGCTGGCACATATGTAGCGGCCAACCAATCATTTTAAACTTCAACAGAGGCCACGCCTCCAGCAAGAATCACTTCTCTATAGCTGAGAGTCCAGACCCTCGTATGAGGCTAAGTGAAGGACAAGGGTCTGGTTTTTACCAGGCTAGTACAACACAGAAACATCAGCCATTACAGACGGACGTGTGTTGTTGTTCCAGGAGCAGCCCTGTCACACACTAATGTCATTAGTTCATTATCGTTACTAAGCTGCAGCACTGCTGGGTTTTTTCACATCACTTGGGCCTGCCTGGGTCCGGTACTACCTCACTCAGGGGCACGGAGGAGYGTCAGTGGTAAACTCGCTTCAACCACTTTTTACAACTTGGTCTCATTTCCAGACTCAAGCATTTTGTGAATGAGGCTGATATTTCAGTTATATACAAGAAAATACATTAGCAAAAAATTTGATCTGTGTATAGTACTACTGCCCCAACTTTGTGGATGATTTTATGMATTTCATTTTTATATTATACTTGCAGATCAGCCCAGTTTTACTTATTGAACCGATACCAATATTCTAAAAAATGACTAATATTGGCCGATACCAATGTTATTGTCAATATATCGTGCATCCCTAGTTTAAATACTTATCTATGATGAGCTGTGGGAGTGATGATGATAAATTATACAGCATACACCATCTTTAATAAAAAACAAGTTTAAATTTATTGTTTTTTTCTCTGATCCCTCTCCTCAGCTGTACCTGATAGTCCACCAGCAGCTCGGGCCCTTTGAAGTAACGAGAAGCGACTCTGACGTTGTACTCCTGTCCTGGGTGGTAAAACTCGGCCAGGCCCCAGTCGATCAGGCGTAGCTACACAAACACAGAGTCAACAACAACAAACAAGTGACATTTAATGATGCATCACCCAATAATGATTTAAAACTTMATTAATGAACAAACAAGACTCTGAGCATGTTTTCTCTGACCTTACGGTGCTCGTGATCAATCATCACATTATGTGGCTTCACATCTCGATGCATGATTCCCATGCTGTGGCAGTAGTCGAGCGCCTGCACACAACAGAAAGCAACGTGACACTTTGTGGATCATACGCAAAGTGATGAGGAATAAAACGTAGCCCAAGTCCTACAAGTATGAACTACAAGAATATRGTCTAGAATCTGTACGTATTGAAGAAAAAAAAATACTCACCTTGAGGATCTCATACATGTAGAACCGAATGTCGTAATCCGTCAGTGTTTGGTACAGTTGCTAAAGAACAAAACCAAGTCAGTATGTAAGCTACACACACATTCACACAGCAGCTACAATCACTCTGAGGACAGATGTGTTGTCCTCAAACCAATGAGGGAGTGGAAACACAACAAGTACACAATCAAGTAAAATATATATATAAAAAGAAACCATAATGAAGGGTTAGCATTCCTTAAAGAAATGAATCCTGCGTTCTGGTTTTTAGGTCAAAGTTTTAAACTAAGATCATGTTATGATGAGAAGACACAGCCTTAAAGCTGTGATTCCTCAGCTGCTTTGTCTCTACACCAGGTGTTATATGGTGCAGAGGATGTTTCATGATAAGAGTGATGCAGTCAGGACTAACTACTGGTGCTCAGTGTGGAAAAAGAAGAAATAAAGATGATGGAAGTTTCAGTTCTGATTTCAGATAAAGTTCAGGTTAAAGTCTGATTTTAATCCCAAGATTCTAGTAAAATGCTCTTCAAAAGGATGAAAAATGCAGAGTTTTAGTAGATCTTTTACAAAGTTTTCATGGGGAGTATACTCCTGAACCCCCCTATAACTGCTTCAGTCCACAGCTGCTGGTTAACATGAACAGGTGTTCTCATGATGTCAGCAGATGTTGGCAGGTAGGAGGTAGACAATTGGTTTTCTATTTTAAATTATTTATATTGTTAGCCAATTTAATTGGACAACCAAGTACCCTKAGTTGGAAAATGTGAACTTTTGGTGGTCTGTGCTAGTCATCTTAAATTGGGCTGTCTCTAAAAGTTAACCAGTTGTAGAGATACACCCAGTGGTCCCTTCATGAAATATTTGTTTAAATCTGTCTAGAAAAACAACAGATTAATGAATTCACACACTGGAAAACATTACTGCTCTTTGTAAAAATCAGTTCTTACCTTAAAGTCTGTGTTATTCACATGTTCAAAGACCAAGGCAGGTGTACGGGACTGAAAGAGATAAAAGTGATTAGTTAAATACAATGCAGACACGTGATGGTGAAACAGATCCAGGTCTAACGGTGGCGTCTGATTGGACTGAACCCGAGACCTGACTGTGAACACCGCTGAGGCCAAGTCCCAACAAGCTAATCACCATGAACTTCCTGCACACATAAAGACAGACTGCTGCAGGCAAGAGCCAATCAAATTTCACCATCTTAGACCTTAAAGGGATATTTCAGATACTTTGAAGTAGGATTCTGTAAGTAAGTTATAAACAACATTTTACTTGTTGGAGATAATTTATATAGATAAAGTATAAAGATAAAGAACATTTCTGTGAGAATAATTGTGTAGCATGAAGTTGACGGTGATATAAAAGTTTATTAAAAAATAACATTCAGATCCGTTTCAAGTTAGCAGCAATCCATTTTGGTTTCAACTCATTTCGGACTAGCCATTGGCTTTTCAGTCTATGCAGATTAAAACCCTGTTTCTCCAATCAGATGTTGTTCAAAGAGCTATCTACAACAGGTAAGATACTGGTTTGTTATAGTAACAAAAGTCAAAGGTAAAATACCCACTGTGTGACAGATCATGARCCAAGGACTACAGACTACTGAAGAYGTCAGGAGCAACAATAACCACAGCTTCAAACAACTGGTCTGTCTAATTTAGATTAAAAATAGAGAAACTGAAGTTATGGACCTGCAGAGTGGACTGTATGCAGTGATGAACTAATGTGATAAAGAGTTAAAGGATGCCACAAAAAGAATCAACTTGGACTAAAYCTAACTGTTTAAGGTAGTGTAGGAATGAACGTCTTCAAAAAACAGCTTGAGATTGGCAATAGCTAAAGGTTACACAACACAAAATATTTGAAGATGCAGCCTTCATAAAATGTCTCAAAAACGTCTTAGATTTCAAATGTGTGTGAATTTTGTGAATAAAATTTAAAGGGGACCTATCATGCTAAATTCAATTTTTTTTTTGTTTTTATGCTTTAATTTGGGTCTGTACTGCTTTCAGAAACAGTCCAAGTGCCAAAAAAATACTCCCAGCTTTTTTTTTTTTGACAATATATAATTTTTTTTAGTGTCAGCATAAAAGCTGTTTCAAAAACCTGCGGATTGTTGGGTCACAATCTGGGTAAAATAACAACGCCAAGGCGAGCCCAGCCCCTCACCTGCTAACCCAAGCGGAGACTCCGCCCACTTCTTCACAGGCCGACCAYGTTAGTTCTGCTGTTTTTATAACAGTCATGGAGAACAGAGATGTGTGGCCTGATTTTATTTTTGATGGCAATTTTCTAGCAATATTTGCCAAAGTAAGTTGTAGTTTGTGTAAATAATTTCACCATGGAGTGCTGTGGAAACTACTGTCCCTATTGTTCCTCACAAACCTGCAGATGATGGTGATGTAAGTGATGTGTTGTGTTGTGGTTCGTTATGAACATGATTTGTCATTTAGCACAAATTATTGTTGAACACGTTGCTGGGTTCGACTACTGAGGAGGCGAGCAGCCTTGCCTTTCCCCCTCCACAACGCCGGCATAGGGAAGTGGCGACAGATGTGCGTTGGCCTCCCCRGCACCAAGGTGTCTGACTTCAAACAGATGCTCCAGTCTCTCCCTACCAAGTTCTGTGGGTGGCCACACTGTGCACAGTCTGTCTACTTCTGTTGTACCATTGTGCATCTGCTTGCAGCAGCCATTTTCACATATCTGAAGGGCTAACATAAACACTGTGCTGGGAGGGCGGAGCTAATGTAAACAAAAGTCTGGGAGGGTGTGGCCAACAGCAAATATTTTGGTTTCCATTTAAAGACATTAAAGATATTCTTCCATCACAAAATGCTTGATAAAATCAAATGACATTTAAAWGTCTGTGTCACACATTAGGGTTGTGTGAGGAGAAGTTAGTCATCTTTGATTATTTAATTTTGTAGTTTGTCGATTTAAAATAAAGATTTATTTGCTGCAGTCATATGAACAGAAAATCTGTGGTGCAGATTTATGGGACTTGGTTTCACCATACTTGATGACATTTTGTTTAAAAGGATCCATGGCTAGTTGTAACATTAGACTTTATTTGATAAACATATATTTTAACTGTAAAATAAAGACGGTAAAAATACTGTAGGCTGTTTTAGATTAAAAATTATAAAAACTAAAGTTTAAAAATACATTACACGGACAGGGCCAATTTATTTAAATGCAAAGCGTTCTGGGTAAATGATGACGTGGATAGGTCATTGGTGTGACCGAGCTATATCCACCCTGAAGGTTAATCTTGGACAATATCTGA